TACCCCCTTTTCCCCAGGTGTGCAGCGTTTTGGTGACATCGCTGCAGCCGTCCTTGTCCCTAAATGAAAAGCAGATCGATTTGAAAGCCAGCGGTCCGCTGAAGCCATCCTCCACTGACAGTTCTAATGCACAGGACGCCTACAGCCTGGAAAACGGGACGGTACCAGGGTGCGTAACACCTTTGCGCTCGATTTTTCAGGAAACAGGACGGGCTGTGTCCTTTCTGCTTCGTCGGAGTTTCCTGAAGGATTTTTTACACCGCAGGAGAGAAAGGATGGAGGAATCGTTATCTATTTCTTAATTATACTTTACATGTTTTTGGCCGTGTCCATTGTGTGCGATGATTACTTCCTACCTTCTCTAGAGATCATCAGTGAATGTAAGTGAACATCATCATCTTTCTCCTGTAAAATGAAGCAGCTTGGTGTAGAACATTCTCTTTAAAAAAGCTTCAAAGTTAGAGTGCTCTGGAGACAAAACTCAAGTAAGTTCGGAGTCTCCGTGCATAGTTCGACTTATCAATACAATATTTAATTTGATACAATGTATCATTATTATATTGAAAAAACATACTCTGCTTATACTCTGAATACTTATTCATTTAAAATTGGCTTTCCTCGCGCCTGGAGGAAAATCTTAAAACTTCCTCAGTGTTAAGTAAGCTGACACTGTAACTTTGGGGTGAGCAGTAATCTGTCCAGGTTACTAGTAAAAGAAAAAAAAAAAGGGGGGAGAGGGGGGAACCAAACCAAGAAACTAAAACTCTCCCTATATTAAAACATGGCAATTAAGTACCTCGCTCAAGTTTCTGCCTTTCTCCCAAAGTTGTGACCAAGTATCAGGATGAGCTACTGTTGACATACTAGAGGTATGACCAAGGAGGGAAAGGAATACCACGCTTACAACCGTTCTGTGAAGTCTAATTAACCTGTCATAGTTCCCCTGGCTTCAGCAGACCACTGAATTACAGAGATGGTCTTGGCCAAGAGTTCACCTTCGAACTCATTGCCAAGAATTAAAAAAATTCCCTAGGGAAACTCATCCCTGAATACTGGAAAACATTCTCCAGACCAGAACACTTACAGAAAATGTAAGCTTAAACATTGCTGTAGAGCTGGTATTTTTTTTTTTATTGATGATAAATAAGCGCTTGTCAGACTTTTTCCATAGTTAGCCGTATGTCCCCATTCTCAGCGTGCAGAACTTGATCCACAGACTGAGTTACATTTCAGAAACAGTCAACTTACCAGAACAAAAATCTCATTTCATTCAAGCAAGACACAGGCTCTTACACTGTCCGAACGAAGTGAAAATTTGATTTTAAGATCGCAGCACTGGTTTGAATTTAACTAGTGTTTCTGGTATGTGAAGACACAGTAGCATGGATTTCCCTGGAAGATAGACAGACTTGACATGGATCACGTAGCAATATCACACTAGACTCCCAAGGACTTTCCCCACAATTATTACCCATATGAAACAGAGTTAAAGCCCGCATACGTATGCCTATTTTACATTTTAAGATCATGCTCAAATCTCTTGCATTATCAGTACTTCTTTTCTGGTATTTAAACTAATTTCTGTAATGAAGTTAGAAATAAGTTAGCCCAATAAATGAGGCTATGTTTTCAATATATTGTTTTACCGATTTCAAATAAATGCATTAACTGTATGAAAGCAAGCAAAGTTCATTCAATTAAACTGTAGTAGCTTCTAACATTATATACTAATGCAAGCAATGGGTACAGACTACTGAAGTATTTATTTCTTTAAGCAATTCTCTTGCTCTATCCTCAGGCCTTGGCCTCTCTCAGGATGTTGCTGGAGCAACTTTTATGGCTGCTGGAAGCTCTGCTCCAGAGCTTGTCACTGCTTTTCTAGGTAAGAGATATATGTTTTGACTCCTCAGAATCTAGGATTCTTTTCCTTGCATGCCAAACTGAAACGTACCAGAGAGTCATTTTCCTTATAGGAGTCTTCGTGACAAAGGGAGATATCGGCGTCAGCACCATCCTTGGATCAGCAGTTTATAATCTTCTCGGTATTTCTGCAGCTTGTGGACTGTTTTCCAGCATGGTATGTATCAACTTTGATAGTTCTGCTCCTAAGAGCCAAATGGTTATCCTTTCTGATTTGCCAACAAAAGCCAAGAGAGACTTACTATGACAACTGTCAAGTTTATTATTTAGTAGCAAAACCAGCATGTAATCAGTTTTAAGGTAACTTGCTATGAAAGTTTTTAAAAACACTAACTTGTTAAATATCATACTTAAGTCATTCCTAAGAATCTTAAATTTTTACATAATATAGAAACAACATATTGATGCAGCATTTACAGCACTTAGTGAAAGTATTACAGACAAGTTTAAGAAAAGTAAATGAATCTGTGATCTGCAGGTTTCGAGGCTATCCTGTTGGCCGCTGTTTAGAGACTGTCTGGCATATACAATTAGCGTAGCGGCGGTCCTTGCGATGATATCTGACAACAGAATTTACTGGTAAGAGCACAAGTAGCATTGAATTCATGTTGACTGGCGATTAGCGAGACAGTGTTTTGACAAACAAACCAACAAACCCAAAATTCAAGTAGCCTGAACCGCCATTCACTAACAGGAATAAACATCCTGCTGGCTTTAAAAACCATAGAAAGTCACAATCCTTGTAAATATTATTACCTAAACACTCAAACCCTGCATATTTATAAAGTTTGATCTGCATAGGTTTGTCTGTACAGACTTCACAATTTCTATCATAACTGTTTTGGCATAGCAATTAGTCTTCATCGTTTACTCCTTTTAAGCCTTTCCTTTGATAGCATCACTGTTAAGAAAAACATTTGTCTGCCAGAAGCAGATCACGAGCTTCTGAAGTTTTAACACTCTTCCATCAACACTGAAACTCCTGTTGCCTCAAGAAGTCAGTCAGGTCCAGCACTAAGTCTCCGGAGTTTCTAACTCAAAATAGCGCATACTATCCCTCTCTTTAACCATGACATGAAGACCCAATTTCGCAAACATCAGTACGATGTTCAATCAGTAAGATCCCCTGGAAAACATGCAGCTATACAATACACAAACAAGATTCTGCAGGGGAGGGGAATTAATCAAACTGCTGAAAGACACGGAGACACTCATGAACTTCCATGACACCGGCCATACAACTCCAAATAGATGCTTTTGTGTGTTTTCCTTTTGCTACTCATGCAAATTTTCTCTCTCTCTCTCTGCCCCCCACCCACCCCCCACCCCCGTCTCCTTACACCAGCCATTTTAACGAGTTAAAGAGTCGGGTTTCTTTAGATTACATGTTATGTAAAATATATTTTTCATTCTAGGTATGAAAGCGCATCCTTATTATTGATATACGGGTGTTATATCCTGGTACTGTGTTTTGACATTAAAATCAACCAATACCTCATGAAAAAGTTCAGTCCCTGCTGTACGTGTTTTACAAAAGCTATGGAAGAGAATGCTGAGCAGCAGCCACTGGTTGGATGGAGGGAAGAGAGTGGACCTCTAATTCGTCAACAGTCAAGAACGGACAGCGGAATTTTTCAAGATGAGCTGGACTACTCTCAACTTTCAAAAAGCATGCATGGGCTTGATGAAATCTCTGAAGGTATAAGTATTATTACAGTTGTCTCTAGCCCTCTGCGTGCCCATCTGCGTCAGTTCTAATAAAGAGTAGATTCCGAGATATTAATAACATTTTGTTCACAAAAGAACTCCAGCATAGTATTTAGGTAAATCATTATTCTTCCCTGGAATATAACATTAAGCAAAATCAGAGTGGTGGTATTTATATGAAGTCAGTTGCTAGAGGAATGCTAGGGTAGTCGCTCATTTGTGTCATACTCTAACGGCAGACTTCCATCAGTCTTTGCTGTGCACATTTGAAACTTCCCAGCAACACTGCTTGTAAAATGCAGTATCAGCTGAAAGACACACTGGTACTGTACTAATATAGACTGTTTTCTTATGCCAATGGCAGGTTCATAGCTCAAAATGTGCATTGTATCAGAAATAAAGGAATAGCTATGATGTGGCCACAGATCATCAGTTTCCTCTTCACTTAGACAAAAACCAGCAGTTGGTACTTATTCTTGGTTAACGTTTTGTGTAAACCTTTATAGAAAAGTTCATTTTTCATCCACCTTAGTTCTCTCCTAGTGACATGGTAATAAAGAACATTTGATTTCAGAGTTTTGTCCAGTGTGATGTAGGTACTGGGTAAGACTACAGCTAGAACTCGAGGAAGTATTTGTTACCTTTTTTCAGTATTCTCACAAGTAGAGGCCAGCAACATGACTGTATGCTACGGATTCAAGCTTAATGCTACAATTTAAAATAGTTACTTTTTCTTCAACAGATCATTCAAGTGTCTTCACTGTGCCTGAAGCAGATATGAAGAGAATTTTGTGGGTGTTATCCCTTCCTATTATTACACTACTCTACTTGACTATACCAGATTGCAGAAGACAGTTTTGGAGGAACTGGTTCATGGTGACATTTTTAATTTCAGCAGCATGGATTTCTGCAATAACTTACGTTCTTGTATGGATGATAACAATAGCAGGTAGGTACCTAAAGTGCTGCCGCTATACAGAATCAACCAATCGAGAATCACTGAAAAAACAGTTTTCTCCCTGTGAAGAGTTTTCCTTTCCGCAATTAACAGTTTAGCAACACATACTTTGCTGTAAAAAAACCCAACAAACAAAACCTACAAAACCTTATGTTTGACTGCTTAGTTTGCCACCTTCTTCCATCTAATGAAAACCACTTCTGAGTTTAGCTGCTTCAGACTGCTTACTATCACACAAATGAGAATTTGTTTACATAGCTACAAAACCCAGCCTGTATTTAAGAGAGACAGTTTCATTAAACTGTCTAAAAAAGAGACAGTTTCATGAAATGAAACAATTAGATACACAGCAATAAACTCGTCAAGCTGAAGTCTGACAAACATGGATTCCACCAAGACTGGAATTAAAGGTTCAGGGTTCTGTAAAAGATCCATTATTTCTATACTTGTATTTTTCATGAACACTATAATAAGAGATTTGGCATTAAATCAACTGCCAAAAAACCCTCCCAAATTTTTGTACTATTTTATTTCAACTATAGCATCATGTGTTTATTAAACACTCCTGGTGTGTATGTATACCTCTTACAAATCTGCATCATAAAGTGAAGCAGTAAAAGAACTGCATTTAAGTGACAGAAGGGGTAAGAATTAGTAAAAACATTCTCTTAAAAATATCTTAAGGTATTAAAGGTCTCCTCATTTCACTGTTTCTCCGGTCAGCTTGAGAAAAATCCAGTTTTTAATTTTAAGAACAAGCAGAAAACAAATCTCTAAACAAGAAAGAAACATTACAAAGCTTGCCATTTCCACATTATAGCTCACTAATCCTACTCAAGTATTCTGCTAGTTCAGCATCCTAAACTTGTTTTCAACTGAAGTTCAATGAGTAAACTCCTTGTTCAGTGCAGAAACAGACCTACACGTTTGGTAAACCTTTGAGAAATTACTAGTCGATCGCTGGATATAACACCCACCAGGTTCACTCCTTGGTCAAATAATTTTCCACTTGTACCTAAAGAGCAAGGGTTTACTGTCTGAATGCTAGACGCCTTTGAAACAGGATTCAGATGAAAGTTATTGCTGTTCTACTAGACAAAGCACTAATTCATAGGAAAGCAGGTACACTGGAGATTCAAACAGTGTATTAGTGTTAGTCCACTTTGAAGAGTCATCACAAGCAGTATGGGGGTCTTTGGCCCACTACTTCTAGGTCAAATATGTTCTATTTACACGTTAAAACGTTAAAAATTACACACACATTATATTCAAGTCCAGGTTCTTTCATAAAGGGTGACTCAAAGATTCTATCGTTGCATAAGCAGCCTATCAGAATGTCACAAAGGTATCATAGCCGGGGACTAAATTTTGATGGTCAAGAACAAACCTAACTCAGTACACCTTTTTGTTGCTAGCAAAGAAAATTTGACTACTTATAGCAAGATATTGCTACTGATACACAAAATTAACTAAAGGCTAGAAAAATAAGACCATTCTCTCTTTATGGTCAGTTGCCAGAAAAAACCCTACACATTAAATAGAAGATAAATCTATCTAATAAAAATTAGATTCACCTGAGTTTAGATTCTATCTTACAACCTTCAGAGGGCTAGAAGCTACTGTTGGGTACATAAGGCTGGTTCATTCATGTTTCACCTTGGTTTGCTTGGCATGAACCATTATTTTCCAGCCTGGATGGTTTATAAATGCTGATCTTGTTGGTCCCTCATCCTACAAATCTCTTACATTAGGAGTGATGGAAGAATAAATAGCAGTACAAATTCTGCAACAGATCATGTTAGCCCCTCTGAACCAACAAATAGTTACAAACAAAAATTTACTGGGCTGATCAAGACTAAGCTGGTATGTACTAGGCAAGCATTGCTGACCTAGCTTACAGAGTACTGCCTCTTATTTTAAGAAAACTGTTCTTATTGGTGTCCAAATATTGCAAGTACGAATTCAGATTTCAACCAAAAAAAAAATTAAGATACTTTTTAGTGAACAAAAAAGTTTAAGAAAAACTAATTACTTAATAGCTTGAATAGAGGTATCATACTTCAGCATATTGACGTTTGTGAATGGTGCAACTGCTAAAACAGGTTTGAAGATCTGAATCCCTGTATTTAAGTGAGAAATTAATACGCTTACAGGACACGTGGGGCTAAAAAAACAGTGGGGAAAAATAAGCTGCTGTTTTAATAACAAGTTAAACTTTTTACTTAATTTAAACCAGTATTTACCTAAAGAAACTCACACTTCTAAAGGATTACTTGCACTTAGAAGTCATAGAAAAATTCTGCATTTTGATTATTCCAAATCCAACAAAAGAACTAACTAGAGTGAAATGATAAAGCCACGTAGTTGAGACAGTATTGTAGTAATGACCTTAATGACCCTCCTCCCCAAGAAAACTCATGTGCTTTTTCTTCCTCCCCTCCCCCTTTAAGGAGTGGGTGATTATAAGAGTTATTGCTTCATGGGACTTTTGAGCACTAACGATGAGATGCCCAAAACCAAAGATGACTATTATATTTTCCAGGAATTGAGGGGAAAAAAAAGGAGTAGTAAGTTGTTAGATATTTAAACTTCTACTGTATCTGAAAGAAAAAATTCGTAATTGGTATCGTCTTGACCGCTGGAGACATTCCACTCGGGTCTTTGAGAAGCTTGTTAAGGTGGTTACTATACTACTATTCATTTTTATTTGATTGAAGAACAAGGACAGGATGATATTTCTTTGTTGTTGTTCTTGTTTTTAACTACTTCATGGCTCAGTCACTTCATATTTAGTCAAGTTAGCTGACAGATTCCTTTTGAAATTACGGTATGATTACTAATCTTTTCTCCAGCAAAGTCCAAAGCCATTTCTTTGGATGAAACTTCAACTAAAAACATACTTGCATTTTCTATCATTATTTATCAACTGCAGGTGAAACACTGGGAATTCCAGAGTCAGTAATGGGTCTCACATTACTAGCAGCAGGAACAAGCGTACCAGATACAGTTGCAAGTGTGCTGGTGGCTCGAAAAGGTAAAGATTTTAGTATTCAGGCTCATTCCAATGGATGTGTTTAAAAGGTACTACGAAAAAAAGAATTCTAGTCAATATTTCCAGAAATTCAAGGAGTAACTTCAAAATTTTTGCTCCAGATTCTAGAGCTTAAGTTTACTAATAATAAATAAATAGCTTACCTGAAGAAGCTGTGGCTCAGACATGTAAAAACCTCTCAGAGTATCTCAGAGAAGCATTCTAGATTGGTTTGATTTGTTGTTGATCAAGTGTTACCAGTTTTACTGCAAAACACAACTGTAGGTCTTGGTATTTTGAACATGGCTGGATTTTATAATAGCCTGTCTAGCTTATTTTAAGTGCAACTGTGCAGATGCTGGTGATTTAGGGAGACTTTTTTTTTTTTAATGTTTGTGGTACCCAAAACCATGTTTTGTAGAATCATGACTATAGTTCTTTCAATGAAAAGTTTGAAAAGGGTACTCCGTGAGAAATTGAGGGCTGACAGTCTGTTCCTCCAAAACAGTTTGGCAATTTCATACAATACAATTAAGCAGACTTGTTTGTATTTCTTCTTTTACAGGAAATGGAGATATGGCTATGTCTAACATTGTAGGATCCAACGTATTTGATATGCTCTGTTTGGGAATACCCTGGTTTATAAAAACTGCCTTCATAAATACATCAGGACCCATAGAAGTGAACAGCGGTGGTTTGACATACACAGCCATTTCCCTTATCTGTTCTGTTGTTTTTATTTTTCTGGCAGTTCACCTGAACGGCTGGAAAATAGATAAAAAATTGGGAGCAATTTGTCTTGTACTGTACTTAGTATTTACTATATTATCAATTTTATATGAACTTGGCATCATAGGGAACAATCCTACAAGGGTCTGTGGTAACTAGTTTTAATCAGTGATTATACTGATGAAAAAATAAAAGCAGGAAAGAAAGATCAGTTTCTTCATTTAGTCAAAATAAAATAAAATTAAAAAAAAAATCAAAACTCCCATTGGGCTCTAAATCTTATTTACAGAACTAAGTCATGTCATTAAAGTAATACTATGTAGAACAAAAACATCACAGCCTAATTGGAGCCCTTTCTTTTAAAGTCAAGAATTACAGTATGACTACAACGCACATATAAAACCAAAATTCTGAAAAAAAGACATCTAGTTTTTACATTACAATGTTGATACACGCTGGGGGAAAAAAAATAAAAATCAGAAAACACTAAACAAATCCCACTATGCAATCTTGAGATTAACAGAGAAAATGGCTTATTTTATTAAAAACAGTATAACCATTCATTTAAACTGAATGACTAGAGACACTTGGCCTAATTTTCCAAAGGCGCTGAGCATCCAAAGCTTCCACGGTCTACAGGGACCTGCAGGTGCTCAGTGCCTCTAAAAAAAACAACAAAAATCAGGCAAATTGTCTTTAAAAACCAAACATAGTAAGATTCAGTTAACAAGTATCACAGTATATTAAACACTATACTGTTAAAGGCTGGTGGGATTTAAAAGTTCCTTTTTACAGCTTTTGTAAGCATACAATGTTACTAAAAATGACTTACTAGGATAGAGAAGCTAAACAGACATAGGAATGTTCCTGAACACAGTTTTAAATTATGCATTGCGATCCAAGCGTACATCAATTTCTCTGCCACTGATTTTTATGCCGTTCATTATCCTACAGGCCTTTTCAGCAGATTCTGGTGAGTCAAATCTGACTGTTCCACAGCCCTTTGATTTTCCATTCTCCATTTTTATTTCTGCAAACATTACATGACCTGAATAAATAAGTTAAACAGCAGTTATTTCAAGTCTTCAGTGCACTAACAAGTTAAAGAACTCATCAGAAGTGATAAAAAAGCATTTTTAAGTATAATCTAGGGGGACATAGGAAATTAGCGCTTTCAGACTGATGGTATATTCATTCATTCAGGGAAGGTGACAGAGATCAAAACAGCAGTGAAGAATCCAAATTAAGATCCACTGTTTCAAATCTTTCCTTCGCACTAGCATAAGATGAAGCATGTCTGCATTTGACCTCAAGTTTGAAACAAAGTGCCCTGTAAGGCTAAGGGAAAGTTTTGCGTTTCATTTACCGACACTGCCAGAAGTCGTGTGACTACTGACAGGCGTTAACTGAATTATAGTTCATTCCAGTCTACCACGTTCATCACAGCAATGCATCAAGCAATCACAACAACCAAGCAATTTTGTAAAGAGGCTGCAGAGCAAAATTAGAGCCTCTAAAACAGTAAAGTTACCAGGTTAGGAGTGGTGGAAAAGTAGCATGCGCTAGTCAATTCCTCCAGTGTTTTCCTGAGGTTGGACACTCGGCACATGAGGCAACGTTTTTATGTAAATGTCTTGGTACCTCAGAGAATGTTCAAAGCCTGAAGCTGGTGAGTTTTTGCTTACGGTATGTTGTTGCACACCACTCCTGAGCCCCCAAATGCCACTAGGAACAAGAAACTTTTCTCTAATATACATAGCTTTTTATTTTCAAATATCTTATAATAGAAGACTGGCCTTTCACTGAAAGAAATGGGACATACGGAGACATGGTCTTTATGTTTCCTTACGATACTGGTGTGAATACAACCTGTTGTTTATATTTGTGCTTATAATTCTTAAAAACAATTCAACATAATTACTACATGTGTTAGTTGCCGAGGAGATAATTAAAAAAAAAACAAAACCTTCTGAACTATCTGAAAGTTGCCCATGCAGCTAAGGCTTAAAAAAAGAGAGCGCCTGTTTCGCTATATCCTCCAGCTACAAAAAAAAAAATGTGAACACCTGAAAATTTTTCATAGTTGAACTGCGAGTTCTAATTTATATCAAATCTGCAAATAGCTGTATGAAGACTGTCTTAGGTATCAGTAGTATATTTTAAATTATTTGTCTTTTCTGTCTCTGCAAAATAAGAAAAGCCATCTGTAATTCAGTTAAAGCTTTCCATTCTGAAAGTGCGTTTTCAAAACAAAACAATCATATACTTCTACACCCAAGCTTAATTTTTCATTCACTTCTGTGAAAAGACAACTTTCCTGAATTAGATAAAAAGAATTACTGGATATTTGTAGCAATCCTTTATCTTACATAAAAAGGGCCTTTATTTCTTAACATAAAGGGGAAGCATTACAGCCTGCAAATATGCTAATCAGGATCATCTATTTGCATAAAAAACAATCTGCCACTTTGGCAAAATTACTAACTCCGATTTGATGCAGCACCATTTCTGGAAGTAATGCATAACTTGGACAGGCCCAGGCCCCTGCATGCATTTGTCTCAAAATAAATGCTACATTACATACTCTGTGTTGGCCAGAGGATACATAATACCTGCTTCAAAAAAGAAAAAGCTCAAAGAGTAATTTTATTAATGGAATAGGTTAAAGTTTATAGCAGATGAGCACTCAGAGCCAACATAGCCCATACTGTACCTTGGCCTCATGTGTTATGTCATGCCTAAAAATTATTTATATAACTCAGGAAAGGTGGGGGAAGTAAGAAAGATTAGGCTAGCCAGACTCTTCTTCAGGATAAGGCAACAACCTTGTCTTCCTGTCCTTATCTAACGAACACCGTATAAAACATGAAGTCGATGGAGCTGAGCAGGGATAAGATTCATATACATACCACACTGACTGAATTTCTCCTTTAGTTTCTGCCAGGTCAAGTCAAAAGGAAGCTAGAATAAAAAAGCATTATTAATAACAAAATATTACAAAGAGAACAAGAGCATGTAATCAAACATGCACACAAAATAAGCTCATGGTTTCTATGGATTCAAATGCTTACATTTCTCACAAATATCTGGTTGCCTTTAGAGCCTAATCTCTCTCTCATGCCACTTCCCATTGGGCCGGGCACAAATCCTCGATCGATATCGATGTTCCTGTCCAGGCCTCCACCCATAGCTGGTCCCATTCGATCAAAACCAGAACTCATCCGATCCATCCCCATTCCCATTCCTCCAGCCATACTGTTCATACCACCCATTCCACCACCTACACAGAGAAGGAAAAGGAGGATAAAATAAAAATCTCTTTTTAGTAATAAATGCACAAGTATTTTGGAAAAAAAAAAATTCTTTTGTGTCAGGAGAAAGATAACTTTAATAAAACTGCTGTAATACAAAACATAACTTCGTATATACACAGTGATTTATCTAGTAGCATGGCTAATATTTTAAGTCAAAATATTAGAAGATACAAAGTGTCAGTTACAAAATAAAAGTAAAAAACAAACTGCATCAAGCGATTAGTCACACAATCTAATGTAGTAAAGTGTTGAATACAAGTAAAGAATTAAGATTTAAAGGCTGTCTAGTTTAATTAATAAAAATCTGATACCCTGCACCAAAGAGATCAAGTAAATAACTGTGACAATGTTAAGATACAGGTAAATTGACCATATACACCATTGTTTATTTTGCTTCCTGCAGTCACATTCAGCTTTACTTAAAGCAGCCACACTTAATGACACAATCTTCTAGAGAAAGTGTATTTTGCAGAGAACAGATGTTACTGCAAGTACTGTGAAGAGCATGGACTTTCCTATGATACTTGCAATGAAATATATTCATGTATACTCCATAACAAACTAGGATCAAAGGCATCCAAATATCCTATTATAATCTTCCTGGATTCATAATTAAAAATTAATGTAAAGCAAAACCATCAAGATCATTCATGAGGGACCTTCTCTTTAAGCCTTATGCCTCTCAAGATTGCCACTAGCAAGATTTCAGTTTCTCATCTGCTCTAGCTTGAGGAACTCAGACATTTGCTGCAATACAAACTCAGTATTGGAGCTTTGCACAAACCGAGTGACAATCTGAAGTTTAAGGCTGATTTTTTATTTCAATGATGAGAGATTACTGAAGTCCAGCTTCATGAAGTTCACACAAATAACTGTCTTTTTTTCTGGAACACAAGTTTACTTGAATCACTTCTCCCTCCAAACCAGAAGTTAAAAACATTTCAAAACTAAGATTAAGAGAAAGACTGTATTAGCAAGTTTTCCTCTGAACTTTTACCTCAACAAAACAGCTTTAAAAACTATTAGACTTGCAGTCACATGCAACAGAATTCTACTTCTTCCAACACTGGCAAGACACTACACTACAACAAAATCCTCCGATACAATTACACGTACACCATATCATTACATTGCCGATGCATTTACATTCTATTGAAACAAGTTAACCTACTCATTCCAGATCTTACTGGGCCCATGCTAGGCGCTCCCATTCCTCCTGCAAAAACACCAATCATTGCACCACCTAAACAGAAAAAAATAATAGAGTGACATACGCTGAAACCACCAGTTAGTGACAACAACAAAGCACACGCTGATGAAGTGCACTGATCTCAATGTTACCTGGCAATTCTTTTCTACAGAACCCTTTAACCTGTGCCTTTATTACTCAAACTGAATAGGAAACATCTAGTAAGTAACATTAATTCCTCCTTCTCTATTACGGGATTTAAGCTACTCTGATTTCTTTTTAGCTTTTCTCCCCTCTGACAGTCTGCCAGCAGCACAAACATCTTAAAACTGAATGAGCCATTTCCCACATTGGGAAGAACAGCCTCAAAACTGAAGAAGGTGCATCTTATTTGAACTTCACAGTACAGAAATGCCCTAGTTTCTCCCATTTTTAAGAAACCTGTGCAAAAGCTAGGAGCAGCTCTCCCAATGTCTTTTTTTACTGCACATGAAGAGTGAATTGATGGAATTTGGTGGGAAAAAAGGGAGAAAGGGAATTGATACTTAATAAAAGCTATTTGGCAGAACCATGGAATCTCCAGAACGGTATCAGAGACTGATTCTAGAGTGGGGTAAAACCAGTTCTTTTCACTGAAGTGCTAATATTCAGGAAAGTAATCCCCAGGGAGCTTCTAGAATTGTAGAAGCTCAAAAGAACTACATTCCTGTCACTGCAGAACAGAGCGGAACTGTCAGCTGCATTTTTCTTGCTGGATTTTCATACCTAAAAAGAAACAGCTCAGTTTTTACTTATGGCAAAATAGATCAATAACCGTTGTCTTCAGGCTAGACACCATTGTTTTAATATCTAAAAAAAGATCACTGCTGAGTCTTTCATTAGATTCGTCTTCTCCACAGTTCAAAACAGCAACAATTGTTTGCTACCAGTCTCTTGTGGGAAGTATTTGTCTCCTCTCAGACAACATGCTGTCATAGCCATACCAAGACCTCAAAAAAATATGGACTAGCCTGTTTAAAAAAACTACTGGTTTTCAACACCAGCAGGATTACTCCCAGTACTTCAGCCAACAGTTTGCATATGAGGAATATCTTAATACTTATTCATTAGGCCAGAGAGGATCTTGCAATGAAACACCAAGTCAAATTTTGAGATTTCTGTCAACATGACTGGTTTTTGCCCTTAAATAGCATTGTGAAGAAAAAAAAAATCCCCACTTTTCCAGAGCTAGAAAACCTTAGCTGTTTGTGAGTGCATCCCAGTTACACCTGCTCTCTTTTAAAAGGAAAAGAGAGAGGAAAAAAAAGTCTTCCCAACAGTCTAAGATGCACTTTAAAAAAAAAAACCAACCAACCAAAAAAAAACCCCAAACACACACAACCTGAAAGCTCAAATAACCCTAATAAGCAAGATTTCAGCTGTTTCTGACCTTAGAAACATCCTTTACCTGTACTTTTTGCCCCACTGGCTTTTCACCAACAAAAAGTTATATGCTCAGATGCTCTATGACATAACCTTTGATTTTTTGGATACTTCAAAATTTTGGCAATTTAAATGGCAACTCCAAGGATTCTGCTGCAAATCAAACATCCTCATTTTCACTACTTGATGCCATAGCCCAATCAAACACTGTCTTAAGTTGCCCTCCTTGAAACTGGCAGGGTACTAAAGCCAAATGCACTCACAGCATTTCCTTTTAAGATACCATTAACCTAAATATTATAATAGGAGTACACTAGGGGCTTCCCCGACTAAACCCAGTATCTATTAACTATTATATTTGTAAATCCCTAGAATTTCCTTCCATTATCTAAGGATAAATTGGGAAACTCTTATCTTGGTTCTCAGAACAGTATTTAAATGGTAAGGTTGCTGAGAGGTTGTAAGTTGAAGCTTGCTGGATCTACTGAATGAATGACTCCCACATCAGTTTCTCACAGTGGCCATGTTCATGCATTTCAAAACCAATGTGTGTCACCAGAAGACTCGGAAGTCTATTGCGTGCATGAACATTTATAACTGAAGTGGCTTTGGATTTGCACTCAGGAAACAGATGTTTATCCTATGTTGCAAGTAGACAGAGTGAAAGCATACACTTGATTTCTAAGACATTAATTCCAAGACATTAAGACTAACTCAACTGACAAGCTTATTACATTCTTATCACTTCTACACAATTACCAGTGCTCCAAGAGAAGCACACACGAGTTACCCTTTGTTATGACTTGCCCAAATTAAAAAAAAAAAAGGAAAGAAAAAAAAATCAACTTTTAGACCGGATGAACCTTATGCTCTTAGCAGCTCTTCTCTTTCACAGTGGGGAATTAAGGGAGGGGGAAAGGGAGAAAAACGGGGAGGAGGGGGAAGAAAACCTGCCTCCTACAACGCATTCATCCAGGTAACAGTATAGTAACAAAGTGCAAGAAGCCTCTGCTGTTAAGCTCTTCCAGGCCTCTTAAGACAAAAGAGTATCTCATCTGAGGGAACCCAAAGGTAACAAAATGAAATCTCTGTCAACAAGACATCATCTATAAACAAAACAAAGCTGGCCCAGTTACAGAAGAGGCCAATAAATTCCATTCTGAACTGCTTGAGCTCAGAAGGCAGGAAGAAAACAGAGGGCACCAAAATTCACCGTTCCTATCCAATGCTACCTGATTTGTGGTAAAAAACAATCTTCCAGCATGGGTTTGCAAAAGCAGGCTCCTGGAAGTTACAAAGGTGGTACATGGGCAGCTTGCTCAGGATTACCAGAAGCATATGCTTTAATACCCAAAAGACTTAATACCTCACAAAGTTAACAGTATAAAGCTAAATGCTTTCCTCAAATCACTACTTTGTTTACATTTTACAGATGGAAAAAAAACCCCACACTTTAACCTGCGTCCTAAGCGATGGCTATCATGAACACTCAGATTACATCCTTATAATAATGGCTGGGGGAGAGGGGACAGAGGAAGATGACCAAATGAAACCAGGTCTCTTCTTGATTTTTCTTCTAGTAAAACTCTTGCAATACTATGTTGCAATTTGTCACGGGAAATTTAACAGTAACCATACCCATCCTTCCAAAAGAATCTCCAAAACCACGGTTCAATGCCATGTCACTACGACCAAAATCTCTGTCCATGTTTCCTCCCATTCCACCACGGAACATTTCTGTAGAGAACAAAGCAAAAAAAAACAGAAATATTCTGTTATATACATCTAAGCTGATGTGCATACACCACTTGTTTCACAGCTGCTTGTTTAAATAGAAGTGGGTTTAATGCACAAGTCAGAGGCACCTATTAAATATTTAACTCCTATGCCAGTTCCTACACCTCCACTCATGCCACAGACTGTATTTCTTTCAAACTCATCTACATTACCCATCCCTAAAGGAAGGGCTTTTAATAAACAAATATTAGCAAACTAATACGTGTACAGGAACAGTGTTCACCTACCTCCCATTCGGTTGACTCCAAATCCTCCCATACTAGGCATTCCTTCCATTCCCCGAAATCCAGCAAGTCCTGTAAAATAAGGAAGAGTGTTTTCTATACAATATTAAAAAAAACACTTAATGCAAAGAACTTCACTGCACGTACCGCCTCCCATTCTATTCATTCCGCCAAATCCTGGACCATCTATTCCCATACCTTTAAACCAAAAAAGACAAACACCATTTAGAAGACAGGTAATATCCTAACGGATTTTTAAAAAAATGCAGAGACAGTTAACATCTCAAAAACACACTACACAAGGCTTGCTTTGTCAAGACTATGTCATTCTTCCAAACACAGAAATGACAATTTTAAACTTAAAGCTCTGTAAAACTTAAAAATTAAGAACACGGATTTACCTCCTGGACCCATGCTCCCCATTCCACCACCCATGCTCAATTGTGTTGCACTGATGGGCTGTCCACCTGGTCCAAGTCCCATACCAATGCCACCAAGACCACCTTGAAAACAAAAATAAGTATCATCAGAAGAAAGATTTTCTTCTGTATCATAAACAGACCACAGTAAGCAAAAGTACTACTAAACTGTTCCAAGACTCTGTATCAACGTATATTAAGTGCAAGGAGTAGAAAACGGAGTGTGCAACTCACGAGGTAATTGTGAAGTTTTGCTGTCCGCAACACGGAAATCTTCATGAGGAACTGATTTGTCATCCTGACAAAAAACAAGGATGTTATGCTATGATCCTTCCAATGTTTTGGCAGAGACATGCAAGGTAGAAAGAAATGTAAGCAACTTACCATTTTTACATGCATGGGTCTATCAAACAGGAATTGTCCATTGAACATAGCTGAAGAAATGCAAGTCAAGGACTCTAACTACAGAATTTAACTATTTCAGAAGAATCACTGTAAAAACTTATTTTATTTCTGCACCATTTTTAGCAGTCTTATCTTTCCTTACCTAATCTTTAGAATACCAGTTCAAAGGCCAGTAGAGACTATACAAGCTGTTAGGTATATAAAAGTTAGTTTCACACGTCACATTCCCACATATTTTAAGCTCGTTCAACATCAGCAGAAGCACCTTTTTAGACTCTAGCAGTAAACTCAGTCACCATTAAAAATGTAATCCGCACAGTATTACACTCTAGTCCCTATATACTAGCTACAAGGCAAATAAGCACCATTTGCAAAACTACGCTATCAGAAGCCATGAAAGACTAATCCACATTTGATCAATTACTTTTCAAAACCAAGGATACATATTGCTTGAACAGCTTCAATTGCTTGTTCAAAGGTAACCGTTCCCATTCCTCGACTCTTGCCATCCTTATCTTCTTTGATGTCTGCACGCTTTACAGTTCCAGCAATGCTGAACACCTCCTTCAGTTTCTTCCAGCCAACTTTAAAGTCAAGCTTACACACAGAAATACATTAGTGATTTCAGTGCACATTTCTGTTCTGCCATTGCATTTGAAGAGATTTTCTGCATTGTTGTAACTCTTCAGCTTCACAAAATGCTTAATATATGTAAATAGCCAGGATTTTGTAATATACACACACTGCAACCGAGTCCAAAAATGTCAACTAAAAGCAACAATTTATACTACGTATATGTATTTTACTTTAATTAACATACTAACATTGAGAAATGGGTGGGTTCTTGTCAAGAGCAGCTGTACTCCCAACAAGTCCCCTTGCAGACATAGTAGTCTTCTGTGCAAATAAAGAACTTATGAAAGTAAGCACCTCCAACAAATATAACAGTTTAAGTTAGTCTGAAGTAACTACCAAGATAAACTGAAGTATATATTTAATTAAAGAGAAGTGCAATTGTAAACAGATAGCGAAAAGATGTATGTTTTTTCAAATCAACAGATGACTGTGCGGTAATTAAAAGTGCATGTCAGCCTCAAGAGTTTAACGTATCTTTCATGTCCAAAATCTGAATATATATCCAGCGTTTTTAGTTGAATATACTAATTGTGAGCTAACACTTCCAATTTCCTCTTTATATTAAAACTGAGTTATGCAGGAACATAAGACGTTTTACAAAGATCAAATATTACAGTTATAAAATACAGTTTTAAACTTACATTAGCAACAAAAATAGTGGACCCAAGCCTGCCTGCCTGCAAGTTACTGATAACCTCAGGAGGAATGTTTGGATTATTGAGAATAGAAGGTGGTAAATTCATTATTCCAGGTGCCACATCAGGTCCATGTCCTCCTGGAAACTGTCCTCCTACACGCTGTAATGCCCTACGAGCATGTTCACCTTCGGGATCCTGAAACATGGGCAAAAATAAAGCCAACTTAATCATCAATAAGAGGACTGGCAACAAACAAAAAGGTACTATTTGAAATTCTACATAAACCCATCAAAATTATCAACTAATATCCTTGTCCATGTCAGAGGGATCAAGAACTGAATTAGCATGGAGACCTAATTCCCTCACCTCTAGAGGTGGGTCCTTTCAGATGAGGGTTGAGGCATATTGGCAAAGCACTTGTTGAGGAAGCGTGCACTGCCACTTCACATGCTGTACCTAGCCTATGGACAAGTAGAAAAGATTTCAATCTAAAGGACTGTCAGTCTAGCACCTTCTTCCAAGAACTGAATTAATTTAATTAGGTTTTTTTTAATTATTTATTAATACCATTACTAAAGTTGTAACAGGACAAAAAGAACTGCATCAGACACTGTCATATACTACAACACTACAATAGAAATGTTGACATTAATTCCACTTTCCAGTCAGCACAAGTTCTCTACTTCCAGCTCCATTTTTGCACATATGTAGTAGTCTGAGACTCAGCTTGTTCTGCATCATATTTTGAAGCAGGTAAGCAATGTAAACATAGAATCATTTAGGTTGGAAAAGACCTGATGACACTAAGGTAAGAATATGAAGTTAAAGTTGTTTTAAAGAAAAACAGTATTAGGTTATTTTGACTTTAGGACACACTTCTGGTCAGTTCACCTGGCATAACAGTAAGACTTTCTGCAAGCCAACAGGCACTTTAGCCCATTAAGAAAATGTCATAAAAAAATTAAACTGGAAATTACACGGCTAAGATGCTCAAAACACTGCATTGTCATCTCAGTAGTTACAGTATCTTCACCATTTCAAATTAAAAACAACAGCAATAACCATACCTCTTTAATATTCAGGGGTCTTCCACTAAGATCATATTTGTTCATAGTTTCTAACGCTTTCTTAACAAATTCTTCGTCTTTGAATTCAACCACACTTCGAGGGAACAAAACAAATAAAGTTTAAAATGTTAACATTAACAGAATGTTTGGATAGTAGTGTGTTTCTACACATATAGAAGAAGAAACTTACCCACAACCCTACATCCATGATGATTTGTCATCATATGTAAAGAGAGAAAAAAAAAAAAAGTCAGTCAGCACATGTGATAGAGCATTTAAGATTCCAGTTAAAGATCCCAGCTCACTGTTAAACGACTATTCAAGTTATTTTCAGCTTCAAAATCCATAATACATGCCCTTTACTGGTAGCCAAGCTGAATTTCTCCTACTTTCTCCACATACATACCTTTCAAAAGCAAGAGAATACATTATCTTTTATTCTCTTTGAGCCAAACCAGAATTGGAAAAATGCCACACAGATCCATGTAAGGACAACTGGGGAGAGGAGGTGGGGGGAAAAGGGTGGAAAGAAAAAAAACAACCCAAAAACATAACCAAAAACCAATCAAGACACTCATCGTGTCATTAAAAGCTGCCCATTGACTACAAAATTCAAATCTACCTACATCAAGTATACCAGTACGATGAACAAGGAGTCTGCATACCTCTTCAGTATTACTAGCATAATTGAGAAATTACTTTGTAAGAAGATAACCTTATTGACTGCACCAGAATCTTTCTAATAAAGCACAGAGTTGAGGATTGCTTTAAGTAAAGCAAAGCTGACAGCATGTTTTAGTTTTAACAAGCGTTAAAGAAAGTCATTTACAACAGTTGATACAACCTCAGTTAAGACTCAAACCTGCATTTCTCATGTTCTCGCTGCAGGTTCAGAGCTACTATTGGCCAAACTTTTGACTATTTTTAAGAAGACAAAGGAGCTTTAACAATCTTCACTCTTAGTGCCTCATTGCTGGCACTCTGTTGGCTACCAACCATCTCCATCCATTTAGTTTTAAGAAAGCAAAAACATTAATCCAGTGTTTAGAGTACCAACCCTGCAAAGCTGTCAAATCAGGCACTTCAAACAGTATATTCTTAGCTAACATTTTATACTCATTGGCCCCAAGAAGAGAATACTACGCTAACAAAATTTAAATGAAATCAGTGGTTTATTGAACGTCCTTTATATGAAACAGATTTGTACCAAAACAAAGATGTTGGCTAAAAAGAAGAATTAAGTAAATGCCATTTGTTAACGTTTACAGAAGTATTTTGTCCTTTACAGCCAGCTAGTTTGAGTTGCATGAAAGTGTCAGACTACTTCTAATACAAAATCCTCAAGGCTATCTTAATGAAAATCAGTGTAAAAATGAAACTTACTTTCCAATAACTGGTACAGGTATTATACAAAAATAAAACTGCTGAGGAACTTTTAAACCTCTAGCAGATTGTTGCCCACGGCACTTACCCTTGATTTTCCTTCAGCATCCTTAAACAGCTCCACGTATGTAACCTCACCAACTACATAAGACATACAAAGGGAAAATACCAAGAGACAATGCATTTAAACACCAGTATCTTTCTTTACTGTGCCCCTGTGCACAACTCTACAGAGAAGCACCTATTATTCACCAACAATCAAAACCAGACCAACGTACCTCCTGTCAATGGCTATATAATTTTGCTAATTTTCAGAAATATGCAGCAGCCACATTCTCAAAAGCTAAAAACAAACAACTATATTTAACCTAATTCATACTACAGATCATATTTTGGCCAGTATGATATAGTTGGTGAACAAATTCAGATATACACAGTCCCTTAACCTAACAAATGAAACGTCAACGTTCACTGGAAAGTGTTACATTTATCATCCTACTCACAACACCTGTTTTAAGGTGACTTTCTACCTGAATGTCTTCAATCATAAGTTTGCCTTCAATAATAACCAAATTTACACATCAAATATTTCACAGCAAGCCACTCACTTTCTAAGGTAGGAAGTTTCAGTAAATAAACCAATCAAATAGTCACGTCACCTTACAACAGATACACCAGCAGTTACAGAAGGGGGGTTTTGGCATTTTTCACAGCCTAAAAGCCAAGTGTGCTTTGCATTACTTTTGAAGAATCAAGTTTTTCAAGGAAAACACAGAACTAACTTTTTACAGAATTCATATATTAGCATTATTTTACCCCAAACTTAAAATAAAACGTTTGGGGTAGTAAGATTACTCTATCAGAACTGCAACAATAGTAACAAGCTTTTAATACAAATCTCCAGACAAACAGTCATGGCAGTAGTGACAATGCAGACAAAGTTCATTCCACAGCCAGATTCCACCAAAGAAATACAAAACAACTTTTGAAAGACGTCCTTTGTTATTCATGTTAACACGCTAAATGTGTTGCTTAAATACAATAGCCCTTAAAAAAAAAAATCTACAAAGACTACAACTAGACGAAACACAATCTCTTAAAGAAGTCATGAGGTCATGCATATACTCTCTACTGTCACACTAGAATGGCAGAAGATTGTAAGCACTTCATTTACCCATCCTACCCTGCAATGCAATTGTCTCAGATGAAAGAGGGGGAAGGGAGATAGATGTACCAAGTAAAGGCCAGAAAAAAAAAAAAAGTCGTCAAATCACATCTGTGTGGCTCAAAGGACATATACATTGCATTTAAGTTCTACCCCTTTCTATGTGAAGTGTATTATAAGGAATAAGTTACCTTTCTCTCTCATAAGATCTTTAATAGCTTGCCATTTCATGTCATACGGGATGTTGCTAATAAAAACTCTATTACGATTAATAGCCTTCTTCTCTCCAGTGCCTGCATTCTTGTCCTTTGAATAGGGGTGGAATCTATTCTTGTTTCCAAGAGAAGGGATGGCCTTCGGTTTTGCAACGTACTTCTCTTTCACAGGTGCTTTCTCTTCTTTTGCTGTCTCATCATTATCCCTACATTAAAAAAAAAAAAATTAGTCTTGTGTTGGATCATTAGACTATTGTACCTCCTATATATATAGCTGTATACCTCCTATGCTATTAGAACTCCCAGGATGTCAAATGCTGCTTTTCAAATTAGGAAAAATAAACTCATGTTACCAGTCTAATTCCAAAATAAGTTGCTTTATCTAGAACAAAAAAAAATAATGCTATAATAGATTTATTCACTATCGTAAGTAAAGCAAGCATGTCTTGCTACTTCAGTTAAATTCCATTTCGTCTGTCAAGATTCAGCAAGATGCTACTATGAAACTACTACAAATATCAAAATACAACAACTCAGCTGAAAAATAAGCTACAGCATCCGTGCTTCAGTGCTTCAATAATTTTCACATCAGACTTGGCTAAGTTATACGACATTCACCCCAGAAGTGAGAGTTGAAACAGTCTAACTTACGGAACAGCTTGATATACTTCATTCAATGTAATAATAATGTACAAAAATCAACTCTAATAGGTTGTAAATCAAATTACATTTTATTTACCCCATGAATAATTCTTATTCACAATTTGTGCCAGACTGCTTTAAGACTGAAATTAAAATTCAATTAAGAACAACAAATGCTCTTTCACTTTTGTTGCTTAACACTACTAGGACTTGAAAACTTGCTAAATGCATCAAAAGCAGCGTGGCCAGCAGGTCGAGGGAGGTGATTCTCCCCCTCTACTCCACTCTGCTGAGACCCCGGCTGGAGCACTGCGTCCAGCTCTGGGGCCCCCAGCACAAGGAGGACATGGACCTGTTGGAGCGGGTCCAGAAGAGGGTCACAAAAATGATCAGGGGGCTGGAGCACCTCTCCTATGAGGACGGGCTGAGAGAGTTGGGGTTGTTCAGCCTGGAGAGGAGAAGGCTCCGGTGAAACCTTATTGCAGCCTGTCAGTACCTGAAGGGGCCTACAGGAAAGCTGGAGAGGGACTTTTTACAAGGGCATGTAGTGCTAGGACAAGGGGTAATGGCTTTAAACTGAAAAAGGGTAGAATTAGATTAGATATAAGGAAGAAATTCTGCTCTACGAGGGTGGTGAGGCACTGCAACAGGTTGCCCTGAGAACCTGTGGATGCCCCATCCCTGGAAGTGTTCAAGGCCAGGCTGGACGGGGCTTTGAACAACCTGGTCTAGTGGAAGGTGTCCCTGCCCACGGCAGGGGGGTTGGAACTAGATGATCTTTAAGGTCCCTTCCAACCCAAATCATTCTATGGTTTTATGATTCTATGAAATAGGTGTATTAAGACATGCTCTGCATCTAAGACTAATTAAGTCACCAGGTATTATCCACTAGAAACAACAACAAAATAGACTTCTGGCCCTCGGTCTTTCAAAAACTTAGCAACAGCAGCGGCTCTCCTTTTAAAATCTTATTTTTACGTGAAAATGCAGGAAATTTGCTTCCTCTCTTTTAAAGCAGCCCAAAGCTCAACTTTGATAAAACTATACACTTTGAACAGAATTAAATGAAACATCCAAAACTCTTTAGCACTCTTGACAGCGTAACTGTCACGAGGTGATTTAGCATGCTAACAGAGGATCAAGGTGCCCGAATTGTTACTTTAAAAAAGGTGAACCACTGAACTGAAAGAATCGAGTGACAAAGCCACACAAACGTGATCCACTAAACAGATGCTACTTAGAGATATACATCAATGTCTAGCTCAAATCTCACTGCAGTTAATGAGAAACTTAAAAAGTACTTTTACACACACATTTATTTTAAAAAGCCAGCATTAGCCACTCGAGTTAGAACAACTACAAGGAAACGTCCTACAGGACTGTCAGAAGTGATTGATTGTGAACCCTCCTTAAATTACACCACTATCTTTACAATTTTTCCCACATTTCAGAAGTCTTAGTTTTTATCTCATTTTGACACTTTGGAAGGTTTCTGGTGTAAAATTAGCCAAAACAGGCATTTCAGTTTTACAACCACAATGTATGGCAAGATCGCGGATTTTGATTAACTGAAATGAGTATTTTCAGCTCTCTGCATAGTTATTAACAAAACAGTGAGTAAGTGGCAGTCTTGCACTCAAGAGCACACGCAAGTAGCCTTTCATGAAGCTAAACATATTATTTACTCAAGCTTGGGCACTTTTCAGGGAGGAATAAATTAAAATACATCCATATTCCTCCCATGACTTTTTCCCAGATTTTGAAGTACTCATATGATATGAACTTCACGGTCCTTGTGTTTACAAGTGGATTAAAAGAGGATTAGCAACCGAGAAACGTGTGGACACTCCTCCGGGCTAAGTATTTGTAAAATTTAAAACATTCAAAGTCAATAACACGTTATCCGGTTCAAGCATCCTCCAGCTTCCCTCTGTGCCATCCCTCCTCCACATCATCCTGTCTGTTGTGGCAATATAATTCTTGTGTGGCCGTGTAATGAACTGAAATGGGGGGAACAATGCAGGGAACTGGAGGGAGCGGAAGGAGAGGGGAGGGAACGAGCAGAGTATCAGGCTTTCCAGTCAGATCAGTTCCTTCCAATCCAGTCCCATTTGCGAACGCAAAACTCCTGCCCAATGAAACCCCTAGTAAAACCTGAGTTCTTCCTTAAGTTTTAGGATTAGAGCAATGGATTCTCTTTAGCCTTTTAAGCTCTTTCCTGCTTAAAGGATTATGAAACAGCCCCTGGATGTTCAGGAAGAGCCAGGTCTCCAAATATGGAATCCACAGGCTCTACAAACCAGTAGAGAGCACAGAGGATACGAGTCTGGCATAAACTCTTAAATCTGGGAAACAAGACGACACTTCACTTAGTCTGGGGATCACAGCCAGTCTCCTGAAAATAGAGGATTAATTAAAAAGCAATCCTTCTTGCAAAACTCATCTGTCAAAACCAACGGGACAGTGAACAAGCTGGAGGCAGATATAGCTCTTACCCTCCTCCTTGAATAATAAAAATAATTTCAATCAAATAATACATTCAAAGCAACGTCATGTTAGTCAGCTATAGACCACAGAAAAGACAGTCTCAGAAACTATGAATTTACATTTTCTTGGGGGAAAAACAATAGCAATTTCTACTCTTTACCTTTTATATGAACTAATCATTTTATACATTTAAGTAACACTTGCCTGTGAAATCACTAGCAGATTTCTAGAGTTGAAAAAGAGATGTCTACATTAATTTCTTAAAAAAAAAAAAAAAAAAGACATCCTCATTGATTAAGAGGAGCAATTTTTACCTTTTGAAAAATAATGCCTTTGAACTTCCATAAAGTTTTGGAAACAAAAAGACAAGTTTTCCATATATAAATAGAAAACTAGAAGCCTAAAAAATAATAAGCACAAGATTAACTCAACATGAAAGCCTTAAAAGCTGATTATTTTTTTTAAAACAAACTTCTACTTCTCTGCTCACAAGTGTCCACACAAATATTAAGATCAGCAGAGACAGAAATGCAAGAAGTCCACAAGTTGTGACTCTAAAGGACATAGACCAGTTTAGCTTTGTTACACTGAACAGTTCCACCGCTCAATACAAAAAACTTAGGGAAGTGTGCAAGTTGAGACCAGGATCCCCCTCCAAATTAGTCTGAGTGCTAAGCAAACCTGGTTACTGAAATACTTTTTTTTAAGTAGTACATTTCACCTGCACACTGACAGCTTAATCCTTTGTACACCTGTTTTGGGGAAGACTGGCAACTGTACGCAAAAGAGTAAGATTTGAAACTCTTGTTACCAAGAATTTTGCATTATTTTCAAATGTAAAGTTGAGATTTCTACCACACAGAATGACTGGGATTTTTCATTTGCTTGTGATTAGTTTTGGAGGGAAAAAAAGAAAATAGCTGACAGAAGGAGAGATACAGAGTAATTAAGTCATTATTTTAACAGTAGCAACCCCAAAAGGCAATAAAATGTTATATGCTTCAAAGGTACAAAAGGGTCACAATCTTCCTGTGAAAATTCAGTCATAATTTGTGTAGTTTGGAAGCTGAGGGCCTGGCTTAGGGGAGAAAAAAAAACCAAACTGCTGTTTTATGGTAATGTGAAATTTATAACTTGTAAACTATTTGAATTTCACAGGGAGTCAAGTAAAGGCATGAAGTATGCCTTTATTCCTCCAGCTTTATATTGAACTCAGTCCCATGCGCATTTTTTTTTTTTAAACAGAACAGTATCAGACCTGGGCTGCTTCGAACATGTTAGAACTTCACAGATCTCAACAGCTTTGATGTACAGTAGGTCTACTCTAAATGTATTTTCCCTCCAAGATGTGAGTGAGATTAGAAGCGATATTGAAATTCCAGTGATATCAGGCCAAAATCTAGTTCATGTAAAGAATGACGACCCTCGAAGCCTGACGCCAAAAACAACCAAACCCATAAAAGGTTATTCACCGTATTGTTCTAGAGAGCTGGTACTTCTGGCTCCCTTGCACTGTGTTCCTTTTAGACCTGCCACATAAGGCACAGTTTAGATATTCCATATATGATAATGTTACTATCTACAAGAAAAGTTTGCGCATGTATGTGGGGTTTTTTGTTTGTTTTTAGAAAGTAAATCACTACAGGGCTGTCTTACCACTCTCACGCAGACGACGATTAGCTCAAAGGCCTTACAAAACATACCGCTACGGGAAGAAGTGGAAACGTAAACAAAACCAGAAACGATCCACAGCACTTCTAGAAACGGATCCTGTGAGAACCGCCCTGACCAGAGCCCTGACCAGCAGCCCGGAGGCTCGCACCGGCGAAGGGGTTGGAGCTCAGCCCGCCGGTGCGGTTTCACCCCGCCAACACCCG